CCTCTAATGACCTCATTCCTGACCCTGTCCATTCTTGTCACTCCTAAAGAGAATCTTAGCATCTTTAACTCTGCCACCTCCAGCTCCTCCTCCTGTCTTCTGCCTATTGCTACTGTCTCTAAACCATACATCATGGCTGGTCTCACCACTGTCCTGTAAACCTTTCCCTTCACCTTAGCTGACACTCTTCTGTCACAGATCACTCCTGACACTCGATGGTAAATCTTTTAAATTAAAATTACTAAAAACTAACAGCCTTCACTTTGACTAGTTCCACATTATGTTAGACAAAAAATGTGCACAGCATGTAGGCTGCAGAAAAACAGTCAGACTAGCATAAAAAAAAAGAAATAAAATAACAACGGCATCACTTTGTTCGTTATGACACAGAGGTTGCTTATATTTTAAATATAAAAAGTGAGTATTTTTAAGGCTATTATTCTTCAGTTTTCTCTAAAAACATATTGTTCCGTTTGAAAATGTAGGTTAAATTCAATGGATAAATAACCTGGTCGATGACACCCGAGACTGTCTGAAGTTCTACAAGAAGCATTTAATCTGTAGTCATAACACAGCTGCCTGAAGAGCTTTGGTCAGTCTCAAAGTAGTATTTGTTCATGAGTTATTTGCACTGATTAGTGTTGCTTTAAAACTAAAGGTGGAAATGAAAAGATTCAGTCGAACACAAAAACAGCTGAACACACTAGTTCTTCTTTTTCTTTCGGCTTTGTCCCTTTTTCAGGGGTTGCCACAGCAAATCATTGATTTCCATCTCTCCCTGTTCTCTGTATCTTCTACTCTGACTCCAACTACCTGCATGTCCTCCCTCACTGCATCCATATATCTCCTCTTTGGCCTTCCTCTCTTTCTCCTACCTGGTAGCTCCATCTCTAACATTCTTCTACCAATGTATCCACTGTCCCTCCTCTGCACATGTCCAAACCATCTCAATCTGGCTTCTCTAGCTTTTTCTCCAAACCTTCCTGTCTGTGTTGTCCCTCTAATGACCTCATTCCTGACCCTGTCCATTCTTGTCACTCCTAAAGAGAATCTTAGCATCTTTAACTCTGCCACCTCCAGCTCCTCCTCCTGTCTTCTGCCTATTGCTACTGTCTCTAAACCATACATCATGGCTGGTCTCACCACTGTCCTGTAAACCTTTCCCTTCACCTTAGCTGACACTCTTCTGCCACCGATCACTCCTGACACTTTTCTCCAGCTGTTCCATCCTGCCTGTACTCTATTCTTCACCTCTCTTCCACAGTCTCCGCTGCTCTGAACAGTTGATCCTAAGTACCTAAACTCCTGCACCTTCACCACCTCTGCTCCTTGTAGCCTCACTATTTCACTGTTCTGCCTTTCGTTTACACACATGTACTCTGTCTTGCTGCGACTGACCTTCATTCCTCTTCTTTCTAGTGCAAACCTCCACCTCTCTAGGTTCTCTTCTAGCTGCTGCCTACTCTCACTACAGATCACAATGTCATCTGCAAACATCATAGTCCATGGGGACTCCTGTCTGACCTCATCTGTCAATCTGTCCATCACCACAGCAAACAAGAAGGGGCTCAGGGCCGATCCTTGATGTAGTCCCACCTCCACTTTGAAGTCTTCTGTCCTCCCAACAGCGCACCTCACTACTGTTGTACTATTCTCATACATGTCCTGCACCAAACTAACATACTTCTCTGCCACTCCTGACTTCCTCATACAAAACCACAATTCCTCCCTTGGCACTTTGTCATATGCCTTTTCTAGATCTACAAATACACAATGCAGCTCCTTCTGACCTTCCCTGTACTTCTCCATCAACATCCTCAAGGCAAATATTGCATCTGTGGTACTCTTCCTAGGCATGAAACCATACTGTTGTTCACAAATCTCCACTTCCTGCCTCAACCTAGCTTCAACTACTCGTTCCCAAATCTTCATTGTATGGCTCATCAACTTTATCCCTCTGTAGTTGTTACAACTCTGTGCATCACCCTTCTTATGAATTGGCACCAGAACACTTTTTCTCCACTCATCAGGCATCTTGCCAGTCTCTAAAATTCTGTTAAACAAACCAGTCAGGAAATTTACTGCCACTTCTCCTAAACACTTCCATACTTCCACTGGTATGTCATCAGGACCAACTGACTTTCCACTCTTCATCCTCTTCAGGGCTTTTCTAACTTCATCCTTTCTAACCTGATCTACCTTCTTCCTACTAGTCTCTGGCTCCTCGTTTCTACTTTCCCTTTCATTTTCCTCATTTAACAACTCCTCAAAGTATTCCTTCCATCTTCTCAGCACACTTTCCTCACTTGTGATCACATTCCCCTCTCTGTCCTTAATCAACCTCACCTGCTGCACATCCTTCCCAGCTTGATTTCTCTGTCTCGCCAATCTATACAACTCCTTTTCTCCTTCCTTTGTTTCCAAACTCTCATACAACTCCTCATATGCCTTTTGTTTGGCCTTGGCCACTTCCCTCTTCACCTCCCTTGTCCTCTCTTTGTACTCCAGTCTGTTCTCTTCTGTTCTGTCACTGTCCCATCTCTTCTTCGCTAATCTCTTTCTCTGCACACTCTCCTGGATCTCCTCATTCCACCACCAGGTCTCTTTGTCCTCCTTTCTCTGCCCAGAGGACATACCTAGCACCTTCCTACCTGTCTCCCTCATCACTGCAGCTGTAGTCTCCCAATCATCTGGGAATATCTCAACACTACCCAGAACTGCCCTTACTTCCTTCCTGAAGTCTTCACAACATGTCTCTTTCCTTAGTTTCCACCACTTGATCTTCTGCTCTGTCTTCACTCTCTTCCTTTTTGTCACCTCCATCGTCATTTTACACACTACCATCCGATGTTGTTTGGCTACACTCTCACCTGCCACCACCTTACAGTCTCTAATCTCCCTCAGATTACATCTTCTACATAGAATATAATCTATCTGTGTGGACCTGCCTCCACTCTTGTAAGTCACCCTATGTTCCTCTTTCTTTTGGAAATATGTGTTTACCACAGCCATTTCCATTCTCTTTGCAAAATCTACCACTGCCTGTCCTTCTACGTTTCTCTCCCTAACACCAAACCTGCCTATCACTTCCTCATCTCCTCTGTTCCCTTCCCCTACATGACCATTTAGGTCTGCTCCAATCACCACTCTCTCTCTCCTGGGGATACTCTCTACCATCCAATCTAGCTCCTTCCAGAACTTCTCCTTTTCTTCCAACTCACAGCCCACCTGTGGGGCATAACCACTAACAACATTAATCATCTCTCCTTCTACTTCTACCTTCACACACATCAACCTGTCTGACTCTCTTTTCACCTCTACCACATTTCTTACATATTCTTCCTTTAGGATCACCCCTACTCCATTTCTCTTCCCATCTGAACCATGATAAAACAGTTTGTAGCCTCCTCCAATGTTTCTAGCCTTACTGCCCTTCCACCTGGTCTCCTGCACACACAAAATATCTACTCTTCTTCTCTCCATCACATCAGCTATTTCTCTACTTTTCCCTGTCATTGTACCTACATTCAAAGTTCCAAACTTCAGACTAACACTTCTATTCTTCATCTTTTCTCTTTTTCTCCTAACCAAACGCCCTCCTCTTCTTCTCTGTCTCTGACTCTGTCTCTGACCAACAGTAGTCCAATTTCCATCAGTGCCCTGTTGGTCAACGGCACTGTTGGCGGTCGTTGTTAACCCGGGCCTCGACCGATCCGGTATGGAAATCGTTTTATTGATCTGCATATTTGATTTAGCTAAAAGTTTTACGCCGGATGCCCTTCGTGACGCAACCCTCACCATTTATCCGGGCTTGGGACCGGCACTATAAACACGGCTTCGTGTACCCTAGTGGCTGGCTGGAGATAATATGATAATGTAAACATTAAAATTTGGAATAAATTATGTGTTGGAAAATAAACTGCACATGAGCAAGAGTGTTGTTTCCTTTTTCAACAGGAGCCACATTCATTCTTGTAAAAAATATGCAAAAGCCAACTGCTTATGGGAATATGTTTAACTAATTTAGTTATAAAGGTTTTAGAAATTAAAAACAAGAGGATGTTCTAAGTAATTTTCTATTATTTTTACTATCAAGGCTCTTCAAACTATTGCAAGAAAATACTGACAGACATGATTGCTGTTTATCCAAATGTACTCATGAAACAGCAGGTTAGCAAAATATAGCAAATACTGCTAAAAAACAAAATAAATAAAATAATACAAATAAATAATATTTTGCAGCCACTGAATAAACTGAGGCTCAGCACAGAAGACAACAAATAGATAATATTCGACATTAATTCAACACAAATGCAAAAGTAAACGGAATTGCTCTGGACATGATGGAATTACTGAGCATTATATTTCACTATAGTGGAAAAATGCGGCAAACAATTACTTTTAATATACAAGAGTCCTAAAAATTATTTTAAGACAAGGTTGAACATAAGTCCCATCCAAGTGCCACGACTGGCCACCAACCCGTATTTTTGCCATGCCTATCGGGTATTTTCCTAGCGCCGTAAAACATCATTGTCTTGCTTAATTACACAGTCTTGTTTATTCATTTTATTTCTTCAATTTATGTGTACATAAAACGTTTTCTAAGAGAAAAGAATTGGTCTAGGAGAGTTGACAATTAAATTAATAAGAATAACCGTTAAGTGGTTCGTATACATTTTCTAGTTTCACTCCTGCATCATCTTGATGCGAATAATGTGCATTCCATTCTTAACAAGCTGTAAATCAAATACTGAAAACACCATAATTTACAAAAACAAACATAATCTCCGAGAACGAAACACACGTATGAACGTATGTCGTTGGTGACACATTTACCGAAACCATGTATCTTGTAAAACTTACGTTATTTAGTTGACTTAAAACTGCAAGGTCAAAACCGAAACAATTCGGGAAGTTACTGCTTGTGTTTGACTACATATAACGTCAGAGTTTAACCTTTCAACTCCTTTTTTCAGCCAATCTGGAATCTACGTTTTACGGCGCAAGAGTGAAGTGCGAATTTACGCTACGCAACATACGCACTTACACTGCCTGTGCTTGCATGACGTAAGTTCCAAAGACTAGGAAGTGTGATGTGGCTTTGACTTACAACAAAATGGTAAGTCTGTTTCGACTATTTTAATTCCCTTTAGTCTCTCTAGAACACCAAACGAAACAAGTATCCTGCTCCTACGTTTGCTTTACAAAGTGTATATGAAAACTTTTCATATGCTAAGAAATGGGAGACGTATGGTAAATGCTAAGGCACTAGCCTTAGCTAACACCCAGGGAGTTTCAGCAACACTGTTTTTTTTAATAATGTCACGTTAGAGCTTAATTTACAACCTGATTTACAGTTGCATTGTAAATATGAGTAATTCATTAGATGCATAAGATGCTTAGTGAAACTCTTACGGGTACGAACTCCGTATATATTACTTTTGCCACGTAGATGGAGAATGTGTGCAGTTGTTTTTGTTAGGTTTGCACAATCTTTGAATGCAAACAGATAGCAGCAGGCAGTATTAGAAAGCTAACAGCTCTTCAATTCACTGCCATTGTCATTTTTCACAGAAACCAGATCCGTTGTGATGCCCATACTAAAATATTGTTTTCACTTGCAGTCGGCTATTTTCAACTTCCAGTCACTGCTTACAGTGATTCTGCTCCTGATCTGCACCTGTGCCTACATCAGAGCTCTTGCTCCCAGCTTGTTAGACAAGAACAAGACTGGGTATGTAACACCAACCCTTCAATTCATGTGTCACATTAAAGTCCTATACAATGTCTTTTAAAAAAAACAAAAGTCCAGAGACAGGAAAAATGGTTGTCAAATGATTATTTTCTTCACTACAGCATTGTTTTCTAGATGTGTTGCATCACAAACAGAACAGAGTTTTTTCTTGACAAGAGATTTCTGAGAGAAGGTGCATTTTGGTTCACAGTGACACCATTCATTGATGTCTGGATCAAAAAAGTCCGTTCAGCTTCCCTTGAAACAGGCAGATCAAGAAAAGTGTACAAATTGGAATAAAAAAATCTTCAAAAGTGTCACTCTTTTGTTAGTGAATCCTTGCTTTTAATTTCTCATTTTTTGTCTTTTAGGCTTTTAGGTATTTTCTGGAAATGTGCCAGAATAGGTAAGCCCTTTTTTTTTTCTTTCTAATTTTATCATTGAATTCCTGCCTAAAGGGGTGGCTTTGAACTTTAGGTTTTTCTTCTGTGTAGGAGAGAGAAAGAGCCCCTGGGTGGCCTGCTGCTGCATCATCATGGCTTTCAGCATACTCTTTCTCCAGTAGCAGTGTATGGGTAAAACCACAAGTGAAGACATGAACAATATCATGCTGCATCGCTGGATCTCCTGGGGGATGTCATTTAGACTATGTACAACAAAGACCTTTTACTGCTTACTGTAGTGGCTGAGGGAGAAAAGCCATAGGTGGAGGGGTGAGGTGCAGCCCCACAATGTGTCAGTTAATCTCCACTGGTGTCCTTTGTGTTTGTTTGTGTGGACCATTAACATGATCAAATGATTAAATGTTTCTCTGAACATTTCAGACATGCTTGTCCTGCCCTATGAATGTATCACAATTGCATTGGTTTTTAAAACAATAAATAAATTCCCCTAATTGATATCTGTAGGAGGCTAGTTGCATGAAGAGTTTAAAACATGATGAAGACAAGGTCATGAGCTGCACTTGTGTTACCAAAACATAGGAGCTCCATAAAAGGTCTGTAATGTCGCTCCAGTTTCAAAGACCATGACCAACAGTGCAGCATTTTCTGTACAATAGTTCTGTTGGTTTATGTGTTTTGTTTGGGTGAATTCAGTTTTACCTGACTCAGAATCTCTAACCTTTAATGGTTTTAGAGTATTGTTTCCCAAAGACTGGGTCGCGACCCTCAGGTGGGTCGTCTCGCATCATGTTTCCCAGGAGTTTACAAATGAGAAGAATAGACATTCTATTGACTTGGGTCACGAAGGTTTGTGACTTTTAAAATATATGTTTTAGAGTCAGCATAGTACAGTATTTGGAACTGAATTGTTGTTTTGGTTTTTAAAGTGCAATTCTCAAAGTAGTTTTGCATGGCCAAGGAAACTTCATACACAACTTCAAATGACAGGTAATGTCTAACAATCATTTTCTGCAATTAAATTTGTATTTTTTAGTTGGTTTAACTCTTGTCTAACTTTGTTTGGGAATTGTCTTTTTTAGAGGGAACTCTGAGGCGTTGGTGGATGAAACTGACTTACTGAACTGCAGCCTAAAATCACATCTGAACCATCAGCATCCACCAGACCTTTTTATATACATTTATGGGATTGTTGTCATACGCTTAGTGCACCTGGCTGGTGTTGGTCCCATCTCATATCCTGTTGTCACCTTGTGTTCTTGTCTGTAACAATCACAAACGCGGCAGTACACTTTAATTCACAAACATTTGCATTTCTATTTGAGCATGTTGGTTTCCAGCATTATGGATTGTTGTTGCAATCAATGAAATATATCTCTCTTCAACAGGAACTTTAAGCTGGCCTACAGCATGTTCTGCTGGTGCTTCCTGTTGAGCCACAACTTGATCATCATACTCTGAGAGAGGAACCACATAAGGGGTGTCTGAGTCCTCCTCGACTGTTTCAATACAAGTTTGCTTTTCAACCTTCTTTTTCCTTCGTCTATGGATGAGCTTTTTCTTCCTTTGGTGCCTTACTGCCTGAATGTCTTACACTCTCAGAGGGAGGTTTTTCTTCCAACCTGTCCAGAACACACTGACTGACTAATCAACTGTCTGAAGACTCAAGCAGTTGATTAATTAAGCCAAGTCAGGTGTGCTGCTGCTTGGTTGGAACAGAAACCTGCACCCACAGCAGCCCTTTGTGGACCTAATTGCCCACCCCTGTCGAAGGTCGATTCGTTTAACCCTCCTGTTGTCCTCGGGTCAAAATGACCCACCACTGTGTTAAAAACCAAATAAAAATCCCCTTAACAATATTTTTTCCACTTTGATTTGATGACTTTTCGTACATTGACCCCAACATTAGAAAAAGTGAATTGTTGCCTTTATTTATATTTCCATGTAAGCTATACAAAAAAAAGTACAACTATTGTCAAATTGAGTTGAAATCACAGTCACAGAGTTACTTATACACCACAGAATGTGAGAATGTTTTAGTTCTGTCTCAGATCAATCAGTAGCAAGCGTAAACAAGACAAGACAGGTGTTCTTCTCGTGGACTGCAATGCCTGTGACCTGATCTAACCCAAATGTAACAATATTGCCCCTTTGTCTGTGTGGACTCCCAGAAACTATAAAAGTGCTGCATATGACAGTCCCCCAAATGGTCTCTGTGCTGAAGCCATGAGTGTGCGTTATAATATTGAACAGGCTCTAGAGCTGATTTTTTCAGATGTCCAACAAGACAATTGATTCAGAAGAGTGGATGATGTATCAGAAGAAGATGGGGAGGAATACAACCCAGAGCATGATGAATCATCTTCAGAAGAAGAAGAAATTCCTGAAGCTGAAAGAGAGACTTTCCTTTCAAACAACGGCAAAATGACATGGTCCTCAGCAGCATATGACAAACACGGCAGGGTGGCAAAACAAAATGTCATGAGGATGACCCCAGGACCCACAAGATATGCCGTTTCTCATGCCCATGACATTATCGCAACACTACCTGTTTATCACTCCAGCAATAGAAAAAATAATCCTGGCGATGACAAATCTGGAGGGTTTTTGCAAATATGGCGACAGCTGGAAAAGGATGAATGAGACTGACCTGCATGCCTACTTAGGGCTGCATTTAAAACTCCTTTTTGCACATTTCTATTCTTTCTTAAGCTATAGAAATACTACACAAATATTGCTTACCACCTATATAGTAAACAATAATACAATTGACAGTGTCATAGCAACTAGTGGTGAATTAAATAAATGCAGTCTGTCTGCCAGGTGAAGAGGGAAAAGTCAGGTATTCACACAATTTGTGGTGAATGAGAAGTTTTTTCTTTCAGCAAAATAAGATTTGGTGTTTAAAATTCAATTAAGCTGGTTATATTGACGGTTTAGTGAAGACCGGTCATTTTGACCCGGAGGACATGAGGTGTATACAGAATATGAGGACACCAGGAGGGTTAATAACACCAACGCCAAAACAAAACAGGTCCAATAATAGAGCAAAATAAACGACTGGAGAAGTTTATTAATAATGCATCATCAGTGGTTTGCATTTTTATACCTGTCTGGGTGGAGTGGTTTTTGACTTCCTGGGTGTGTGTTTAAATGTGGTAGACCAATGGAGGAGGTGGGGAGGAGAGAGATTGGACCTCTTGTGGCCATATTACCAATTGTTGTACCTGCAGTCACCACTATGTGGCGCTGCTGCACCATGATTCAGCGGTGTTGGAGGACATGTTTATGAACCTTTTGTCACTGAGCAAGGTGTTACCATAAAGGAAGTAGACGGAGCCTTGAGGTCCGGAAAACAACGGGGTTATGTGGATCAAAAGGAGTGGATGGAAGTCTTCCCATTGTTCCCAGGGAGTCGAGGTGTTTTGGAACAGTAGGGAGTAATCTGGGGAGTTGGTGTGAAGAGAATTTAGGAGAAATTCTCTTTTAATGTTTGGGGATATGTAAATGTGTGTGCTTGGGAAGGCCTTTGTAGTGTATACCTGTTTTAGCAGCTTCCTGCTTTCAGACCCAAACCAAAGTGAAAACCACTGAAATCTAACAATCGGTTGCACTGATTAATCCATTTGTTGGAGGAATGAGGGAGAATGAAGGAAAGAAAAAGATCAGACAACATGCTTGTAGAGTGAAAACGAATGGATGTTACATGAAAGGTTGGCACTAACTTCTGTAGTAGATTAGTAGAGTCTAATCGCCCACAGTCTGCTGTTTCAACCAACTAGTTTTACTTGTGTGACTGTGGAGACGCATAGTGAGACGAAGAGTGGAAACCTCATGGGTACACAGGGCACTAGGGACGGGGGGGATATGATTCCCTCAGGTTGTCCCTACAGATCAACCCCCCACTTGCACCACTGTCCCAACATAAGAGAAGAGTAATGTGTTACAACTAATGCGTTCAAGTCATACATCAATGTCAGAATTTCCACTGTTAAACTTAAGCATAGACATATACAGAAAAATATGAAAGTATCTGACCGCCATATAGAATAAACATGAATAAATAAATAAATATAAATAGACTACAGAAATAGATATATATACAGTATGTATATATATTAGCGTGTTAATCTGTTACGATTACTATGGTTATTGTATAGTGATAATGCTTTCCCCCGGTTCAAAAATTCTATCTGTAGAATCTCTGGACCCATATGCTTTTGTCCACAAAATTAGAATAAACTAGCTGGAGGTACGGTAAAATAAAAAAATAGCTACATTGAAAGCAACTGGACAAAGTACGTTTTTCTTTTGAAGGCGTTTCGCCTCTCATCCAAGAGTTCTGACTACTGGGAAATTCTGGTATTTAGCCTTGAGGGGGCTACATCCCTGTAACGAGGGTCGTTGCAGAAAGGGGGGATAGAGGTGTGGTGAAACACAACCTATTCAAGGGAGGGCGGAATGTAAAGTCACAAGGTTGGAGGTGTGAATGGGGAGTGATACCATAGCTATGGACTAATAGTTTCAGAACTGACACGGAGAAGGAAAGACAGCCCTTCTCACCATGACAATCAAGAAAACTGGGTCAAGAACCTCTCTGACAGGACCTTAACCCAGCCAGAAAAATATGTTTTAGCAAAAGGTCTCAACTTTGCTGTCACTCCCACATAGTTGCCCGTGGTGGATCTCATCACAGCAATGTACACATAAAGGAAGACAGAAACCTTTACATTGAAGTCTACAGGAAACCCATCCACACCAACCAATATTTACACTTCGACTCACATCACCCACTACAACACAAATTGGGAGTTATCAGAACTCTGAATCACAGAGCCAAACACATTCCTTCACAAGAGGAGGACAAGGCTATGGAACAGTCCCACATCAAAGGAGCTTTAAAGACTTGCGGCTACCTCAATTGGGCCTGGCCCAAACAGACTGCTGGCCAGAACAGACCCTTGCTTGCTCTGCCTAAAATTTTGAAACCTGATCTTGAGTTAAGAGGACAATGCCTTTAAGTTTCGATTTTTGTTTGATGTGTAGTGGATGTTCTTTTGATCCCAAGTCAAAGACAGGAACATCAAGGTTCTGTGTTCAAACTGTGTTTTTATTACAAAGAGAGCAAGAACAAGCAAGAGAGTATACAGAGTACAATCAAACAAAACAATTATGGATAAAAACAAACTTACAGAGACTTTTTTCTAGAGTAAGTGCCGATCTAGTAGCCTGTCGGTTACCCAGGACCTATGCCAGGAGCACTGACTGACTAACTGACCTCTGAATTTATACAGACATTTGATGTGAGAGTAAACGAGAGAATGAACTTCCTCTGCAGGTGCGTTACCATGGCAACCATAGAGCGTCTCTCCTTCTGCTGCACATGTTCCAGGGGTCACATACAGTTTAAGACAAGCACTAGATGTATATTATCAGGAACAGTATTTCATACTGAGTTCCCATATAGTTTAAGACAGAGAATATGCATATATCGTAAGAAAAGT